ACGTTGATGAAGGGGCCCAAGGACACACAAATACATGCACACAAAGAAACATATTCCCCATATTTTTTTCATAGTTTCTGGGTTTTTTTGTCTTCCCCCCAATTCCCATATTCTCCCAGATCTTCTGGGGAAATTCGACGACTAATTGTGTCTGTGTGTTTTTCTTTCCCTCCCGAGTTGAGCCAACACGCAACGTATGGACACGGACGTCCGGAGCACGGCACGTGCTGCGGCATCAAGCCGGGCGTGCCGAGGCAACGAAGTCACGAACCTCATGTTGGACGCCCGAGTTATCCGGGGTAACTCGGGTCCGGGGTAACTCGGGTTTGGATTCCCGAAAAACGAACCCGAGTTAGCCCTGACCCGAATTATCCCTGATGATTCGGGGCTCTGGACGCCCGAGTTATACGGGGTAACTCGGGTCCGGGGTAACTCGGGTTTGGATTCCCGAAAAACGAACCCGAGTTAGCCCTGACCCGAGTTATCCCTGATGATTCGGGGCTCTGGACGCCCGAGTTATCCGGGGTAACTCGGGTCCGGGGTAACTCGGGTTTGGATTCCCGAAAAACGAACCCGAGTTAGCCCTGACCCGAGTTATCCCTGATGATTCGGGGCTCTGGACGCCCGAATTATCCGGGGTAACTCGGGTCCGGGGTAACTCGGGTTTGGATTCCCGATAAGCGAACCCGAGTTATCCCTGACCCGAGTTACCCCTGATGATTCGGGGTTCGAACCTCATGTGCAGTCTTCGTCGATTCGGCGAGACTTCCAAGCTTGGGGCACAGCAATTCTGCATTCGACCTCCTCCTCGAACGATACTGGGGCACAGCAATTCTGCATTCGACCTCCTCCTCGAACGACACAGGGTCGAATCCAGGGGGAACAGAAAGTGACATGAACATGAAGACTCGGAGGGCTGCACGGATTTCTGGGATCGGCGCTGGACCCCCCTCCCTGGCGCGCGGAGCGCGCCAGGGGCGGCGCCGGAGGCGCCGCCAGGGGGGCCCCAGCGCCGATCCGAGAAACCCGCGCGGACCTCCGAGTCTTTATGTTTATGCCACTTTTTGTTCCCCTACGTTTAAGTCGGCGCCGATCCGAGAAATCCGCGCGGAATTCGAGTCTTTATGTTTATGTAATGTTTTGTTCCCCTGCCACAGGGTCGAATCGGACAAGCGCGTCGGCAGTGGAAGCGCGCCGTGCCGGCAGGAGTCGGCAGGCAGGTCGGAGGGCAGCGAGGCCCGGCGCCCAGCGGACCGAGACGAGGCCCGCACCAGGAGACCCGTGGCCGGGCCTCCTGCGCAGTGGGCGCTGGCGGCAGTAGGAGGAAGATGAGGAGGAGGAGGAGGAGGAGGAGGAGGAGGAGGAGGAGGAGGAGGGAGGAGGAGGAGGAGGAGGAGGAGGAGGAGGAGGAGGAGGAGGACACCTCTCGGGGATGGGCAGAGCCCCCTTTAGCAAGACGTGGTTTAGTGAAAACGACCTCGGGCCCAGACCTGGCGGGCGCAAGCCTGGAAAATGACGGCCGCGGCGCCCTCTCCAGAGCCGAAAACGGACAATTCACGAATCGACGTGCCAGGGTGGGGGTTCTGTCCCCCCCCCTGGACGGGGCAAGAAGAGGGGAGCTGTGCCTCCTCGTCCTCCTGCAGGAGAGGAAGGGAGGGGGACGTCGTCGCCAAGCGTTCTTCGAGGAACAAGAAACGGCACAACTGCAAGCTTTCGGATGTCCGCACGTTTTTGTTGCTGCATTGGCGCTGGACCCCCCTCCCTGGCGCACGGCTTCGAAGATTTATGTTGATGTAGTCGCTTCGTATTCGACTCCTTCTCCCTAGCGCAGGCTGAACCGCATTTCTGATATGAACTATTGCCTACCCTGCCCTGGGCGTTCGCACGCGTGGGAGGGAGCGAACATCGATGGGGTCGGTGCCCTATGGACGAACCCACCACCAGCGACAGCGGCAAGCGGAGAAGGATGAGAAGGATGAGGATGCCGAGGATCGGGCCTGCGGGAATTCGCCTGCCTGCCAGAATGCGAAAGAAGAAGAGGAGGAGGTGGAAAAAGAGCAAATGAGTAGCGGCAAGCTGCGCCACCTCCTCCCTCTCCTCCTCCTCCTTCTCCTCCTCCTCCTCCTCCTCCTTCTCCTTTCGCCTTGCTCAGTGGGCATGTCTTCACCTGGAGCGTAGCCGTTTCGTTGTGTTGCCCACGCGCCTTCGATGAGCACGGCACGCATTCCCTCTCTCTCTCTCTATCCAACACTCTCTCTCTCTCTCTCTCTCCCTTTCTGTCTACTTGTCTGACTCTCCCGTTTCCCTCCCTCTCTTTTTTTTGATTCTCTCTCTCTCTCTCTCTATCTATATATCTTTCTTTGTTTCTCTCTCTCTCTCTCTCTCTCTCTCCTCTCTCGTGGCAACGGCTGGACGCGCTCGGAGAGCTTGCCTGGCTGGAGCCCAAGAGGGGCCAGGCTGTCCACAGGGCCCCCCAATGGTCTCTAGGGAGGTACCCTGGAGTGCCTAGGGGGTCTCCCGACAGTTCCACGTGGACCCCTGCATTGGCACCAAAGTTCTCGACCCCGTTCCCGCCTGTATTGCCCAAACCTGGTCCTGGGACGCCGAGATGATGACAAAGAACATCCTTCGTGTTTTTGATCCCAATGCCTGGAGTCTGGGTGAAACTCTCCCTCCTCCTCCTCAGCCTCCTCCTCCTTCTCATCATCGTCCTTGGCGAGCCGCGTTCCTATCCGAGAGCAGCAGCTGGACAGAGGCAATGAGGGCAAGCGATGCAGGAAGAGGCGCTCGGTTTTCTTCCTGCGACGAACCCCCCAGAGTCTCGCAAGCTCCCACGTGCGCCTGGCAAACCAGTGCGGGGACAGAGGGAAGGAGACAGGAACGCATAGGAGGACGAAGAGGGGAAAATGCGATCTATGAAACCAGGGCGGGGAGGAGGATACAGAGAAAAAGGAAAGGAAAGAGAGGTGGAGAACGAGGAGGCGCTGGAAGAGGGGGAAGAGATGGAGGAGGATGAGGAGGAAGAGGAGGAAGAGGAGGAGGATTATGGACGTGGGTGTAGCAGGCCATGGCAGCGACACGGGATGGGGAGGGGAGATGAGCAAGACGGCGGGAGGGAGGGCAAGGGGACGAGCGAGATGGAAGTCCGGAGGGAAAGGGGGACAATGTCGGGGATGATGAGGGCGATGAGGATGACGACGAGGAACACGATTGCGATACGGAGGGCGACGACGTGCTGCAATACGTGGGGGGTCACAACCGCATAACGGTCGACAATGAGGCCTTCCCTCACCGAACTCTCCGACCAACACGGCTAACCGGGAGCGTTTCGACCAGAACGTTCAGATGGCAAGACTGATGATAAAAGTAAGTACGAGGAGGCACAGGGCGCAGCTGGAACACCTTCGTTTCGGGCACCGCAGGGATAGGCGCAACGCCCACGACAAAACAACAGGATGAGGCGGAGCGAAAATGTCCTGAGAGAGGAGAGGATGATGATGATGATGAGGAGGAGAAAAAAGAGGAAGAAGAGGACGACGATGTGTACGATTATGATGATTGTGATGAAGATGATAATGGTGATGCGGCCGACGATGATGACGATGATGACGCTAATGGTTGTAATCATATTGATGCTGATGATGATGACGATGATGCTGATGATGGAAACAATGGCGATGCTGATGATGCTGCTGCTGATGTCCCCCAGTTTCCAAGTGTTCTCCTTCACCTGTTTGGTTATCTCTCCCCCTGGGTATTGGCCGTGGTGCAGGGGTGCGAGGGTCTCAGTCTTCACTGACAAATCGATCCACAACGACAGCGACAGGAAGAGGTTGAGAAAGGGAGGGAGAAGAGAGGATGAAAACGCCCACAAGGGGGTGGCGCGAGGGAGGTGGGTTTCAAAGAAGGAACGGGCGCTTGTCAGAAGCCCGCCTGGTGAGGAAAGGAAGGCGAGGATCGACAAAGGGCACGAGGGAAGGCGAGGAGGGAGGACCGATGGAAGGGAAGGGAAGGGACAGGGGGGGCAAGCGAGAAGGGGGGAGACGGGAGGAGAGTTGAGAACGGGGAAGACTGAGCCGAAAGAAAGAAGAGGAGGAGGCGGAGGAGGAAGAGGAGGAGGAGGAGGACTCACGGAGCCATGGATCCAGGAAGTGCGCGGCGCACACCGCGCGCAGGCGGGCCGCAATGGCAGGCAATCGCCCCCCCGCCCCCCCCCCCTTACGCGAGGAAGCGGGCCCAAAGGAGCGCGCACCGACGAACACGAGATATGCAGCTACCTCGTCGCCCAGCCACTCGCCTCCAGCCGAGAGGGCGTGGTGCGTAAGGGACAGGTCGGTCCACCTCGTCGCTGCGAGGCACTTCCCGACTATCAACCCGTGCCCAATCAGCTGGCCTGCAACAATGGGTTTGTTCCCTGGGGCGAGCGGGCACAACGACAACATGGGGTGTACGGGCCACATGGCCCCGCCTCTCAAACGAATGCGCAATCCCCCGCGCCTGATAACCATCTCCAGGTCACGGAACGTGGTTAGCGCCGCTGCCACGGCAAAATGCCACGGGGCTGGTTCCAAAAGTCACGAACGGTTTCGCTGCCCCCAGTCGCCGCATGCAGTCGACTCTGACGGTGTGCCACGAGGATTGTATGGCGCTGAAACCATGGGAACAGGTGCCAGGCCCCCACCCTCGGGGAAGGGAGGGCGAGGAGGAGGAGGAGGAGGAGGAGGAGGAGAAATAGGAGGAGGAGGAAGAGGAGGAGGAGGAGCAGGAGCAGGAGCGGGAGGACGAGGAGGAGGGAGAAGAGGAGGCGGAGGCAGAGGAGGAGGCAGAGGAGGCAGAGGGAGAGGGAGAGGAGGAATGAGGGAACGGGGGTGGGAGTACCGAGGCAGGGCGTGAGGGTCGAGAAGGGCGAGAGGGGGAGGAGCGGGGCGCGGGGAGGCGGGGAGGCAAGGCTCCGCCGCGCGCCGCGGGCCGCGCCCTGCCCTGGGTCTGGCGGTGGGCGGCTACGCGCCCGCGGCCCTCGGGGCGCAGCCGCGCTGCAGCATCTGACGGGCGCTCATGTACAGTCGGGGCGTTGAATTAAGGAACGGTACATTCGGGTCGGGCGAAAGGGGGGATAGCAAAGGGGGGGTTTGAGAATCAGCTCGCGTAGCTGATTTTCCCGGCGCCTCCCGGCGCCGGAGGCGGCCATGTATCGAGGAATGGGCCCCTCGGTGAGGCCAGAACCAGCTGCATGCAGCAAATTATGTAACCCCCCCTTTCCCAATCCCCCCTTTCGCCTGGCCCGATACATAAGGAGCGAGGCCCTTTTTTTCCATGAGTTAAACTTCGATTTCCCATCGAAAACATGAGGAACACCTGAGGCAAGCCGCGAAACACGTAAGGAGCGCGGAGACCCTCCCCAACCAAAAGGGTTCCTTCTTCAGGGCCCCGACTGTATCTCTCTTTGCGCGGGACACCATGGGAGTGGACGGCATGTTCCACAGCTGGCGCAAAAGCATGGTATGCCGCCACACGCCGAAGGCTAGATGAAACATAAAACGACGCGAAGATCGGGACAACATCGGATCGGGATGACTCGAAATCTCTGAGAATCGGCGGGTTTGGAGGATGCATTGGGCGCCGCGGCCGCTCCAGAGCGTTCCGGAACGCTCTGAGAGCGCTCCAGAACGCTCTGGAGCGATTTACCCCGATCCTAGCCCTGTTTTACACCATGGGAGTGGACAGCATGCTCCACAGCTGGCGCAGAAGCACGGTGTGCCGCCACACGCCGCAGGCCAGATGAAACTAGGGCTCCCAACTTCGCGCTTCGCGCTGCGCGAAGCGCGAAACGCGAATAACTTCGCGCTCTCGCGCCGCCCTCCCAAAGGGAGGATAGGAGGACGAGGAGGAGGAGGAGAAGGAACGAGGACCGCGAAGCGCGAAGCGCGAATAACTTCGCGCCCTCGAGGGAGCCCTTGATGAAACGGGCATCGGGCCGAGGCCGGCGAGGTGCGGCACGAGGCGAGAGTGCGGTTGCACGACGGGCGCGCGTGCTTGCTTGCTCCGTGCTGCCGCCGCGGGCTCGCAGAGACCGAGCTGCTGCCAGGGGTCACCCAACGCCGCGCCCTCGGCGCCCTCGTCGCCCTGGCCCCCGACCAGACCACGCTCCGCGCAGGGCGCGATTGCCTTCGCGCCTGGGCGGGTCTCGGCTATACAAGGGCTCCCAACTTCGCGCTTCGCGCTGCGCGAAGCGCGAAGTGCGAATAACTTCGCGCTCTCGCGCCGCCCCCCCAAAGGGAGAATAGGAGGACGAGGAGGAGGGGGAGAAGGAACGAGGACCGCGAAGCGCGAATAACTTCGCGCCCTCGGGGGAGCCCTTGGCTATACCACGGGGGACGCACACGTCACTACGGCAGGGCATTGTTGCTCAGCGCCTCGCGGCGGCGGCCCCCGGCGACTTGCCAGGCGCTGCCAGGCGTCGCGCTGCGGGCGGGCCGCGGGGAGGGGCTCGGGACGTCGACGCCTGGGCACTGGGACGTGGGCAGCGTGCCGCGCCGAAGCGCGGTGGGCCAGAACGAAGGATTGCAAAAAAAAACAAAAAAAAAAAAAATCTTTTTTTTTTTGTTTTTTTTTTTTGCAATTGGTTTTTTTGTTTGCAATCCTGCGGCGCGACACGCTGCGCCGACGCCCCCAACTGCAAACTAACCTGAGGAGCACAACCCCTCTGCCCCTGGCTCCGAGGACGCCAGGGTGAACCGACGCACGCCTGAGGAACAGGAGGAGGAGGAGGAAAAGGAGGAGGAGGAGGAGGAGGAGGAGGAGGAGGAGCAGGAGGAGGAGGGGGAGGGGGAGGAGGAGGAGGAACCGCCCCGGGACCCTGCCTCGTGCTGTCCCTGCGGGCGCGCACGGTCGAGGCACGGCCACGCACAACGTGGAGCAGAAACGTGCGCGCCTTCGCCGATCGGCCAGGGCCACAATCATGAGTGTGCCCCAAGGCGAAGGAGGCCGTTCCAGTGTGGAGAGCACACTTGTCCAAAGCTGCTCGGCCCTCCGTGCCAACTCCTCGACGGCAACATCCGTCAGCACCGATCCGGACCCGATCGGAACGTGCGGCGTTGGATCGGGCCGCACCGGCACGGAGTCGGAATCGAATCGGATCGGCCACGCCACGGTGCACAGCAACGCCAATGCCAACATCGGGCCGCGGCGTCGGAACAGCGGAAAGAGCATGTTCTGCCGCTGCTGGCAGGGGGGGGTATCAACCCCCTCAAATTAGGGTGCCCCCCCCTACCCCGCCTCCCAATTGAAAACTGTTCGGAATGTTCCACGCGCCCACTCCCGTAAATGACTCGGAGGCCAGGGCCCCCTCCCCCCCCCATCTCACCCCCTCCCCACCCCCCAGGAAAATTACTCGACAGGTCCACGACGCCTTCCCCCCCTGGCCAACGACGACGACGACGACGACGACGACGACGACGACGACGACGACGACGACGACGACTGACGACAACGACGAGGACGAGGAGGAGGACGAGGACGAAGACGACGACGACGACAACGACGTCGCCGCCCCCAAAACGACGCGGACGACGACCACCACCACCACCACCACCACGACAGACGTCGACCACCACGACGACGACGACGACGACGACGACGACGACGACGACGACGGCGACTATGACAACGCCAGCGACGACGACGATCGAGCCCTAGCAGGATGCGATTCAAGCCGGATCGAGCCCTAGTGGTGTGCGATTGAAGCTGCGTCGAGCCCGACCATGATTTGACTACAAGTGGACCCAGCCCTGGTAGGATTTTGTTGAAGATGGATTGAGCCCCTCATCCACTTAGAACTGTATCTAGCTCCATACACGATCTGCATTCATGATGGATCAACTTTTGAGTAGGACCCCACAAGAGCTGGGCCGGACTCGTATGTGATTCTACGAGCGCTGATCCTGGCCGTAGTAAATTTCTATGAAGACTGAATCTAACCCTCGTCGGTTTCGACTTGGCTTGGATCCATCCCGAACACGATGCTGAAAAGGCTGGACCGAACCCTGTTAGGAATTCATCAAATTTGGATCGAGCCCCAGGAAGACTCTGCGAGAGCTGGATCGTCCTCCGGAAGCATGTTTTTCGAACTGAATGGGACCCAAGCAGGCTCCTGTTAGAGCTGGATCGAGCCTTAGTGTACTTGGTGGATCGGGATCCAGCCCTGCCAGAATTTTCCTATACCTAGATCCAGCCTCGGTAGGATCCGATTAAGAGTGGATCGACCCCCAGTGCGGTTCTGCCATCGCTGACTTCAAGCATGGTGGGATTCCATTGGAGCTGGACCGAACAATCGCAAGATTCTATCAGAGCTGGATCCATGCCTGATAGGACTGTCGTGAAACGACAGGCTCGGACATACTTCTCCTAACGCAACATAAAGGCCCAAACAACGCCCGAATGACACATGAAAGCTTCTGCGCTCAACCCCGTCCGCATCAACGGGCGCGCGGTCCAGACGGCCCCAGCGTAAAATTCGAAACTGGTTTCCCCATACCCTCAGGAAGGGGCTCTTGTTGTTACTCTGACCGCGCGGAGAACGAGAGAACACCTCCCACCCTCAGGTCATCGTTCTCTGACTCACTCATATGTAGACTCAATCATATTCAGACTCACCCATACTCAGATGCACCCGTTCTTACGCTAATGATATTCAAGTTTCTCATGCTCGGGATCACTCATATGCAGACTCACTCACACTCCTGATGCTTCCGCGCTCAGACTCACACGCGCGTTGCAAGGATGTCTCAGGCGAGGCGCTGGTTTCAGTACTCCCACGGGGGGGGGCCAGGGGGTATATCACAGGCCCGCTCGCGCCCATATTGGGGGGGTGTCTCACGCGGTTCGCGCCCGTTTGGGCGCTGAACATCCTTCTTGTCCGGAGCAGTTTCCGAGCATGTCTCGGGCGAGGCGTTGTTCTCAGCGCTTCCAGAGGGTGGGCGCCAGATGGTATATCACGGGCCCGTTCGCGCCCAGATTAGGGGGGCGTCTCAGGCGGTTGGCCTGTTCGGGTGCTCGACGCCCTTCTCTGTCGGAGCAGTGTTCCGAGGATGTCTCAGGCGATGCGCTGGTTTCAGCACGTCCCATGGGGTGCGCCAAGGGGGTACATCACGGGCCCGTTCGCGCCCAGATTGAGGGGGCGTCTCTAACGGTTTGCCCGGTTGGGAGCTCAACGCCCTTCTCCGTCGGAGCAATTCCCGAGGGTGTCTGAAGCGAGGCGCTGGCTTCAGCACTTCCAAAGAGGGGCGCCAGATGGTATATCACGGGCCCGTTCGGGCCTGGATTGGGTGGGTGTCTCAGGCGATGTGCCTGTTCGGGTGCTCGACGTCCTTATCTTTCCGAGCAGTTTCCGAAGATGTCTCGGGGCGCTGGACTCAGCGCTCCCAAGGGGAGCCGCCAGGGAGTATCTCGCGGGCCCGTTCGCGCCCAGTTTGGGGGGGATGTTCTCAAGCGGTTTGCACGCATGGGCGCCCCGTCGGTGCCCCCGGGGTTCCTCTTCGCCACGGCTGGGCCCACCTCGAAGTTCATCCAACGCACCCCTTGGAATGGTTTGGCTTCGCGAGCAATGGCTTGCGTGTGTTTGGCGGGGGCCACTCCTTCGCGCGACGCGACTTCCTCGCTCCGCGGAGACGTTGCCTCCCCCTGTCTTCGTGAAGGCGCGGGCGCGGGCGGCGGCTCCGCGCGGCGCGAGTTCGCTCGCTCCGTGGAGCCCTCGCTCGCGCTGGTCTGGCGCGTGCGAAGTCGTGCTCAGTCGGGCGCGGCGCCTTCGCGCGACGCGATGGCGCCCCGCGGAGATGCGGCGTCCGCGCTTGCATCCGAGCACGCGCGCGGGTGCGCCGGCTCCGTGGGCCCGTCGCCCACGCATTGCGGAACTTTATTCGGTAGTCGGTGCGCTGTGGACTGTTTCGCGCGACGCGGGTTCGCCCGCTCCGTGGGCCCGCCTTCCGCGCGCGACCAGGTGCTCGCATCGCGTCGTCTGGCACTGCCCGGCACGTCGGCGCTCTTT